ACACTCAGGGGGGATTATGGGTAATATGTTGTCCTCAAGAGATGCATGTTTCTCAACTTACAGTATCTATCATCCAGCAGTGAGGACAAGAGGCTGGAAATTAATTTGCTTCTCATTTTTCCTGATAAGGTACCTTAAAAACGTTAAACGTTTCTGCTACTATGCAAAGTGCACTGATATTCATCAATGGTTTTTAATTAAATAGTAATGTAATCTGAATTTAATTTGTGCTTATGCAACTCAAAAAGTGAAACAATGACAGTATAATAAATCACACAGGGTTGGGTTGGTTTTAAAGCTGATACAGTTTATTAAACATGTTATATACCGAATATAATACATATGAGATCTTTTTGGCACCCCCAAAAAATAATAAATATGTTCTTGTTAAGTCAGTGATTCTACATCTAAATAAATAAACAAACCATAACTTACTCTTCAATAAATATACGTAATTTGTTATATAGATGCATTGCATCAATGTTTATTGCAGTTGGTCTACAGGGTCCAACAATTCTCGTAGTGAAAGGCTGTGTGTGTGTGTGTGTGTGTGTGTGTTAACAGGACATCCCACTGCAGCAGGTGGAAGAGACTGAGGCCATATGGACGGACAGATGAACTCTTCAGAGACTGCAGTTACTCCAAAAAAAGTAAAAGAACAAATACGATTAACCACAGAGTGACAGATTTAGATATGAATGGATTATACAGCACTATTTCTATTAGACAGGAGTGTTGATGTTTTGTTAACTCGGCTTGATCCTTTGACATCATTTGGAAATATTTTGTTCACCTAAAAAAGTGAAACTGTGCAGGAAATACATTAACAAGCTATTTTTATCAGACCAGACGCTTATATTTTTGTTTGTAACAATGTAGCAGAGTCAGTCAATTTAAATGTTACTGTTTTTAGGTGTATCAGTATAAAGATGGATGAATTCTGTCATCACAGATGAAGATATTTGAGAAATATCTCAAGAAATGTCTTTTCCAAAATCACCCAAGTTCTTCAAAATATCTTCTTTTATGTTCCACAGAAGAAAGAAAGTCATGCAGTTTTGGAACAACATTTAAGGTGCGTAAATAATGACAGTGTTTTCATTTTTGGGTGAACTATCCATTGCATAAAAGCAATATCATACTAAAAATCTTACATGATGCTGCTTAAACATTTTTTGCATATGGTTTTTGATTATGAATGTGAAATTAGATTCTATTTCATAACTGTTCTAGTTCAGCATGCTAATAGATTCTTACAACCATATACATGCACATTACTATATTATCTTCAATTTGGTTTTATATATATTTTTGCCCATATGTGAAAAAAAATATACAAAATAAAATCAAAACATTTGTTACAGCAGCACAAAGTCTGCACACCTTTGCAAGCACATGGTTTGTTGAGTTTTAAGGCCGGGTGCTTATTAGGGCTTAAGTCTTCTCCTGTAATTACATCAGTGCTCTAATGAACTGATCAGACTTACATGTGGCTTAAAGGGACACTCATCTGCTTCCTGAGCACAAGACATCGATTTCAACTCTCATTTCGATTCATCGTACTTCATTTGTATTCCAAATTCTCTTTCCAGTTACTATTGCGTGCAATTACTGCACGCATTTGCAGTCTGTTGACATAATGTGTACGTGTCTTACTGCAGCTGTAATCCACTAAGTATAGTATTATATAGTATTATTATAAAGAGTTGTTTTTATGTCAATGCAAACATGATTGACGACAGAAAGTCGAAACAAGGAGTTGGTTTGACTAGTATCTGTGCTTGTTTAATGCCTAATTACCAGAGATTATTTTGGTGGAGTTTAGAGCTAAAATCAGGACACGGTTTTATTTAGAGACTTATTCGATGCTTGTTCAGGAAGGTTCTTCCCTCTTTAGTTCTCTGTATTTTTGGCCAAGGCTTGACAGGAGCTAAAGTGGATTAGACTCTTCTGTTATAGGATTTACACAAATAAAGTGGATTTGGTCAGGTTAACTAAGGGAAGACCTCTGTGTGTGTGTGTGTTAACAGGACATCCCACTGCAGCAGGTGGAAGAGACTGAGGCCATATGGACGGACAGATGAACTCTTCAGAGACTGCAGTTACTCCAAAAAAAGTAAAAGAACAAATACGATTAACCACAGAGTGACAGATTTAGATATGAATGGATTATACAGCACTATTTCTATTAGACAGGAGTGTTGATGTTTTGTTAACTCGGCTTGATCCTTTGACATCATTTGGAAATATTTTGTTCACCTAAAAAAGTGAAACTGTGCAGGAAATACATTAACAAGCTATTTTTATCAGACCAGACGCTTATATTTTTGTTTGTAACAATGTAGCAGAGTCAGTCAATTTAAATGTTACTGTTTTTAGGTGTATCAGTATAAAGATGGATGAATTCTGTCATCACAGATGAAGATATTTGAGAAATATCTCAAGAAATGTCTTTTCCAAAATCACCCAAGTTCTTCAAAATATCTTCTTTTATGTTCCACAGAAGAAAGAAAGTCATGCAGTTTTGGAACAACATTTAAGGTGCGTAAATAATGACAGTGTTTTCATTTTTGGGTGAACTATCCATTGCATAAAAGCAATATCATACTAAAAATCTTACATGATGCTGCTTAAACATTTTTTGCATATGGTTTTTGATTATGAATGTGAAATTAGATTCTATTTCATAACTGTTCTAGTTCAGCATGCTAATAGATTCTTACAACCATATACATGCACATTACTATATTATCTTCAATTTGGTTTTATATATATTTTTGCCCATATGTGAAAAAAAATATACAAAATAAAATCAAAACATTTGTTACAGCAGCACAAAGTCTGCACACCTTTGCAAGCACATGGTTTGTTGAGTTTTAAGGCCGGGTGCTTATTAGGGCTTAAGTCTTCTCCTGTAATTACATCAGTGCTCTAATGAACTGATCAGACTTACATGTGGCTTAAAGGGACACTCATCTGCTTCCTGAGCACAAGACATCGATTTCAACTCTCATTTCGATTCATCGTACTTCATTTGTATTCCAAATTCTCTTTCCAGTTACTATTGCGTGCAATTACTGCACGCATTTGCAGTCTGTTGACATAATGTGTACGTGTCTTACTGCAGCTGTAATCCACTAAGTATAGTATTATATAGTATTATTATAAAGAGTTGTTTTTATGTCAATGCAAACATGATTGACGACAGAAAGTCGAAACAAGGAGTTGGTTTGACTAGTATCTGTGCTTGTTTAATGCCTAATTACCAGAGATTATTTTGGTGGAGTTTAGAGCTAAAATCAGGACACGGTTTTATTTAGAGACTTATTCGATGCTTGTTCAGGAAGGTTCTTCCCTCTTTAGTTCTCTGTATTTTTGGCCAAGGCTTGACAGGAGCTAAAGTGGATTAGACTCTTCTGTTATAGGATTTACACAAATAAAGTGGATTTGGTCAGGTTAACTAAGGGAAGACCTCGGGCACGGATAGCCTGAGAGGTTGCCTTCGATTTCAGTACATTTGCAAGTAACTAGAAGAATGAAAACCGTCCGATAGTGAGAGGAACCTGTTTCTGCAGGGATTCTTGATAGGGTGGGATCCAAATTTTTCCTTTGAGGAACAGTGCAAATTGACTTTATGATGGCAGTCCAGGCCAATAGTAGCATAATTTTGGCAAAGCACAATTTGGATATTATCAATGCACAAAATTCCAACAAATTTCTCTCTATATAGAACCTGACTGGAAGATTCGGAGAACCTTGTGGAGACACTGCAACCCGATCTCACCGCAAATTGTATCTATTTTACAAGGTGGCGATTTCATATGAATTCACACAATGTGACGTACAAAATTGTATGATTCGTCGCAAAAAAATAAGCATGAAGGTCTGCCCCTAAATGTAACCGTCACTTGGGCGTACATAGATTGTATGAAAACATACGAATGAGTATTAGCCACCAATTTGCCAAAATGCATAGTAGTTTTGCAATGAGATTGTTTTGGACATTGTAGTATTGTTTCATAAATCAAATTTTATAAATTGGAACCCATTTTATACAGTTTTTTGATCATTCCAGTTTATCAGGTTCTGAAGGTTGGAATATACTACTTTTGCCCAGATTTTTTTGCCAAAAAATCAGAACCTGTCTGCGTATTTTGGGCAGTCGGATTTGACAGTTTTCACAGGATAACGCCTTGTCACAAGGTGCTAGTTTGTTGTGTTCGGAACGACTTGAAATTTCGGTAGCGTGACCACCAGTTTTTCCTCTGTTACAATTTACAACGACGCCATTTGTGTTTTAAAATCCATCCTTTAGCAGATTATTAGGTTCCTTTTTTATCTTTTTATACATAACTTTTTGTTTGATTATTGTAACATTTAATAAATGTAAATATTTTAATCAAATATTGGGTTTTCTTTTACAGAGCCACGTTGACCATAGCAAAGCTGAGGTAGATGTTTGGTATAACTAATGTGTTTGAATTTGATTTGTGGGAATGTTTTGCCTTTGAAATGTCAGAGTTGAAATCTTTCAGAGCTGCTGGGATCATTTACGGGTCAGTTACACAATGAGGAAGTTTTGTTCAGCATTGGGTGCGCCTTTGTGTTCTTGCTTTGTTTACTGAAGCCCTGAATTAATTTTCTAGAGGTTTTTGACACTGAAACTCTGAGCATCCACCCAGCATTTCAAGCTATTTGAAATAGACCCACGAAAGCAATAGAAACAAGATATTCAGCAGCATCTCATTAGCAAAGACTAAACATGAGAATAATTCTTTGCTTAATATATTTTTGGTTTCTCTTCATCAGGACTGGCAGAAGTATCTGAGGAGAACCTGTCAGCCGAGTATGTTTCGTGAAGGCAATGCAAGACATAAGCTCTCGCCTCAGTGCTTTAAGCCCAGAAGATTTTCTTCTCAGAATCGAGGGTCTGTATTTTGTCAGAGATTAAAACATGTTATGTTTCTTAAACGTTTTGAGTACTCCGATGAGTTTTGACCCTCAACGTCAGACGCATCTACATGCTTTGGCCGAAAACTTTTGGATCGTGTGGTATTTGTTGAAGTTATCGAGGAAGGAGATGTCCTCCTCATACGCGGTGGGCCGACAGCAGGGGCTGTGGCGCGCTTTGTCCTTCTGCTCCCTTGTTAGCAGCCGCGAGCGCTTCATGAACGCCAGCGTCAGGTCATAGTTTTTGCGGCTAGTGGTGCACTTTCCACTGCAGTAATGGAAGACTATAGTCTCGTCACTGACGTATCCCAACCCCAGCTGACTGACCGTCACCTCCACCTCCTGCAGCGAGCAGGGTTTGGAACGCTTTTTTGCCCGTTTAGTCCTTTTGCTCTGTTGGGCATCTCTGCGGGCTTTCCTTTCCACCAGTGTCCCAATGACCTGCTTCAACTCGCCCTCTGTGAAGCTCTGGAACATCTTCATGACTGAGGGAAAAAGGAGGGTTAAATATTTTCAGTGTTTAGCATGGCAAAACATTATTTTAATTGTGCATGCCCACTTTTTCAGTGGCGCTGATTAAGTGTTTTCTAAACAACCTGTCAGCATGTCAATATTTTAGTGTGAAATACATATGAATACCTGTTTGAAAACCTTTTTTTTCAGTTCTAATTGGTTAGCACAGTGGCATAAATGTACAAACTTTAAAATCGAAACTTCAGGGAATATTGGTTATCATATTTAGAGTTAAATTCACATGGAATTCTGTTCATGTGAAGTTGGACTTGAGCCTGACGTCTGGGAGGCCTGCATGCTAAATGCAATCTGATGTAAACTATGATAGGCTACACTATAATGAACCGCTGTCACAACACAAGAGAACATAAGGCCTCGTCGTGATCTTACATTCTGATACAAGAGAGTTTCCTCCGTTAGCTGATCTGACCCTCCTTTGCCGCCCACCTGCCACAACGGTAGACGATGAATTGCTTGGTGTAAATGAAGACGATGGAGGTGAAAGAGATGAGGATGAAGCTCTGCGGTGGGGAGGAGGGGGCGGGGCTTGGGAAGAGGGAGCGGTTTTAAGGACGAGCAGAGGAAGTGCAGCACCACAGAGAATCAGGCCGATGGCACCAAACTTCCATAACTTCATCTTAGAATGAGGAGAAGCATTGGGCCCCTGCAAAACAACCAAACATCCATCACTCAAAACCAAAAAGAAACGCTGTTTTAATGTTTGCTATTCTATTGGCATCACGCATTTGGACAAGTGAAGCCAAAAACATTAGATATAATTTTCATTTTGTCAAAATATACGCTACAACTGAATGGCTGTCAGTGGAGAAAGATGCTTTTGAAACTACATCAACTAGCAGTCATTAGAGTATCAGTAGACGATCTGCTTAATATCTGCTAACACTTTATTTTGATGCTCCCTCAAAAGACATTTTACTGATTGTACCAACTTTGCAAGTAGCCTATATGTTAACTTTCTCTACTAATGCTAACCCTACAGTCTGCTAATACTCTAATGAGAGTTAGTTGACATGTAATTGCAAATTAATGAGAGTTTAGTTAACATGTAGTTGCAAAGTTACTTATTGTTAGTACACTCTAAAAAATGCTGGGTTAAAAACAACCCAGTGCTGGGTAAAATAGGGACAAACCAAGCAATTGGGTTGTTTTGACCCAGCGGTTTGTTTAAATGTTTAACCTAACATTCTGGGTAGTAACCAAACCGCTGGGTCAAAACAACCCAATTGCTTGGTTTGTCCCTATTTTACCCAGCACTGGGTTATTTTTAACCCAGCATTTTTTAGAGTGTAGAATGTCTCAAATAGGCTATCAAAATAAAGTGTAAACATATTGTCCCCATAATGGTCAGTTGATTGAAAATTGACCGCGATTAAATCAGGCCTATAATTCAGTCCATATAAACTGAATGCTCGACATAAACAAGCCATTTAAGAGCATGAGCTGGCTAATTTATATAAGCATTAGTATATATTGCCTTTTTATTTGAGGTATAAAGCATACATAATACAATATTGGGAATACCAACCTATGTGAATTATTTATTGAATGCCGTAATTTTCTGCAAACCTCTGCCACTTAAGGGGGAATTTGGGGTGTGTGGATCCATAGCAGCTTTGGCACTTATTGCTATGAGGTTGTTATTGTTGCAAAAAGCACATTTTGAAAGTCCATTAAAAACATGTCTTCATCTTTGGCATAGATACAGTATATTGAAGGTACACATTATTTGACAACATGTTCGCGCAAACTAATCAACGTGAAAATCCACACATGCCATGGTGTTTCTTATTTGTGGTCTCTAACAAAAATAATAAATTAGATTGCCTGGTTAACATAACCATTTAAAGAAGTCGCTGCTTGCCACTTGAAAAAAAGACGTCATTTTTATAAATTACATACATTGTTGAAATAAGTAATTCATATTCAATTTTTTTCCCTTTTTAGCAACATTCATTCAACCATTGAGTTGAGTGTGAGTTTTTGCCAAAAAAATGGTAGACAGGAGGAGCGGCTGAGAAACCTGTTTGAAAACAATAATTTTAGTCAATTTGGTTTGGTGAGCGAAGCGCAGAAATGACAAAGTTTAAACCTGAAGCCAATTTCGAACTTAAGAATTTGAAACAATTTTAGCTAAGTCCACATATATTCTGCTTATTGTGATTATTTTACTACCATGTGTGATTTTGCACTGATCAGATTGACTTGAGACCATAAAAGACCTATGGCTAGATTTACTTACCGCTTGTACCAGTGCAAAACCCTCTTTTGGTGGGTCAGGATTTACTAAAGATATGCTATGAAACATGAAAATGAAACCGTGTTGACACATTTTAGGAAAGCAATAATTCATGTACTTGGGTGGATTTTATTCCTCAAATTCCATTTATAAAATTAATTCCACTCTGTGATTCTGATTGATCAAGAGTACTTGTAATTAGATTCAACACAATCCAATTACTTTTTTATGGATTACACGATTACATGCGTATTTATATATAATGCAGTGATTCCCAAACTTTTTTTGTCATCCTTCCACTAATACATTTACTTGAAGTACCCCTGAGATTTTAAAATAAATATTATAATAGTTAAATATCACATTTGCATGTTCACAGCTCTCTGACATTGTCACATAACGTCCAGGACCCCAAAGTGAAAATTGTCATCATTTACTCACCCTCAAGTTGTTCCAAACCTGTAGTTTCTTTCTGCTGTTGAAACATAAAACAAGATATTATGAAGAATGCAAGTAACCAAACAATTTCTGGTCCCCATTGACTTCCATAGTATTTTTCCCATAATATGAAAGTCTGTGGGGACCTGCAACTTTTTGGTTAAATACATTCTTCATAATATCTTCTTTTATGTTCAACAGCAGAAAGAAACTCGAACAACTTGAGGGTGAGTGAATGATGACAATTTACATTTTTGGGTGAACTATCTCTTTAAAATAACTAAATTTGTTAGTAGTTTGATCTAAAAACTAGTTTCATGGATCCAGGTACAAAGCACTTAGAGTATATGAATGAATTTGTTTTGAGCTGTGGAAAGAGACGGGTCAGTCGGGAATACAGTGGGCGGCCTCGCTTTAAGTCTCATTGGCCTGCGGATGCTTATATCAGAATACGTTGCAGCAAAAGTCAGCAAACGAAATAGCATAATAACATATACTCTAACTATTTCTGCCATATAAAGACAGTAGTCTATAGTGATTATAATTAACATAATTTAAGAACAACAGAAGTTAATAGGAGGTCTTCATAAAAAAATATAGGCTACTAGTTAGTGTGTGCGTGTGTAAATGTGAAATTCAAATGTGAGTAATGATGATTCATAACCTCGGGTTATCTCTGTCTGGAATACAATTTCAATCCCATCATTGTTGTCAGTAAGAGTTTTAATGTTTTTGAAAGAAGTCTCTGATGCTCACCAAAGCTGTATTTATTTGATAGAGTACAAACAGTAATATTGTGAAATATTATTATATTTTACAATTTATAAGTTACTGTTTTCTATTTGAATATATTTTAAAAGTAATTTATTGCTGAATTTTCAGTCACATTATCATTCAGAAATCATTCTAATATGCTGGTTTGCTGCTCAAGAAACATGTATTATTATTATCATTATTATTATCAATGCTTATCAATATTATTATCAAGCATCTAAATACTTTTTTTAAATTCAAATTATGATCACACAAATATAATTTGTAATTACATTTTTTATTATGAAAGCAGAATGCATTTCAGTTACCGAAAATGTTTTTAATAGATTTAGATTTAACAACACTTATTAATGTTTAACTCATTTTAAGATAGATTACCATTTTAAGGAATATTAAAATCACCATTTTAGGGGTTTAATTTCAACTGTACGTGGATGTCAATAACAAACCATAACATTTTTAAAAAAAAAATTAAGATTTGCATCCAATTTTGGGCATAGAATATATGAGAAACTTCAAGACTGAAACAGAAAAACAGGATGTCCAGATAAAATACTATTGTACTGAATAGTGGCACCACACTGCTTTTGTTTAAGCTTAGGACATTTTTAAAGCAAGTTTTATCAAAACAAAACAAGTCGAATCAGCTCGTGGAGGTATTAATGCTAATACCACCCAGTTGAGCTGCAGAGATGTGCACTACATATACTGTACTTCACCCATAAACAGATGGTGTGACCCTCAGCATTGCTATATCAGAGATGCTTTTATTATCGAAAAGAACAGGACACCTTTTCTGATTCATAATTTTACTACAAATCAGAGTAATTCAAATTTAAACAAAAAGAGTTCCCATAACCTCTTTAAAAATTAAGACAGACATTTAAGTTGCAGTAAATTAAAATTGTATATATTATAGATGTTATTTTGAACAATTCATTTTTTGCCTGGTTCCTTGCACAATACTATGTTCTGGCCTCAATTTTGCACCATAGTGGATAATTTGTGGACTAACTCATTTTGACGTTTACATCACATAATCATTTCCATATGTATGGATCTTCTGATATAGTAAACTTGCTCCGAAGCGCACCTGATGCAGCATTGGACATGCAATGTGGAGCACTTTGCTACGAGTCTGCGAAACCTTAGTCACAATAAAGAAACCTCAAGGGCTTGTAGAAGCTAAAATGGTATGGTTGCTTCAGTGTTTTTTTTTTAATCTCGCATTTGCTTTTGTTAACACTACTGGTTAAGTTTAGCGTAGGTGGTACGTTACTTTTGAACACGACAGAGCATTAACTTTTTAGCCCCACTCAGCAGACATTTCATTTCTGAACAGCTGCGGTATGTATGTACCACAACCATCGTAGTAAAACATTGCCAGATTAAATCTTTCAGATAAAACTGAACAGCGACAATGGAAATTTTAATGAAATATTTGCAAAGTAATTGTCGCTTCCAGATTTTTTTATTTATTTAGTAATTTTTGTACTTCAACTGAAGGTTATCGATTTCACTTAGTTGCAAAGAGAGCACTTCTAATACTTTTTTTTTTTAATGTAATATTTATATTTTATTTCAGCTTTATTTCAGTTACCGAAAATGTTTTTAATAGATTTAGATTTAACAACACGTATTAATGTTTAACTCATTTTAAGATAGATTACCATTTTAAGGAATATTAAAATCACCATTTTAGGGGTTTAATTTCAACTGTACGTGGATGTCAATAACAAACCATAACATTTTTAAAAAAAATTAAGATTTGCATCCCATTTTGGGCATAGAATATATGAGAAACTTCAAGATTGAAACAGAAAAACAGGATGTCCAGATGAAATACTATTGTACTGAATAGTGGCACCACACTGCTTTTGTTTAAGCTTAGGACATTTTTAAAGCAAGTTTTATCAAAACAAAACAAGTCGAATCAGCTCGTGGAGGTATTAATGCTAATACCACCCAGTTGAGCTGCAGAGATGTGCACTACATATACTGTACTTCACCCATAATCAGATGGTGTGACCCTCAGCATTGCTATATCAGAGATGCTTTTATTATCGAAAAGAACAGGACACCTTTTCTGATTCATAATTTTACTACAAATCAGAGTAATTCAAATTTAAACAAAAAGAGTTCCCATAACCTCTTTAAAAATTAAGACAGACATTTAAGTTGCAGTAAATTAAAAT